TGAGCAAACAAATTTCGTTTGCTCATATGTTTCCTCCGCTGCAACTTCTGAGAACGCCGCTTGTTCCAATGTTAACCATTGGTAGCTTCTCCGAAAATGGTAGCATTTGAGAAGAAATCTACCAAAAAATTGCATCACATTCCATGAACCCAATAGTGGTAGCATGTACGGGTGTCAACAGTATTTGAAAATCCGATTTTGAATTCAATATTAGATATAATCAAATCGAATTCGGATAATTCGAATATCTAATCGATCGAATTCAAATATCCTATTCTTACTGAATAGTTAATCGGATTCGAATTCGGATATGACTTGATTCGATTCGATAAATATCTGAATTCAACTAATTATTTAATTCTTATATAAAATATTTTATATAATTTATATATAATAGTTAAGTTATATAAATAATTTATATATTTATATACTTTATATTAATAAAATATTTATTTTATATATTTATTAATTATCTAAAATAATTAATTAATCAAATTCGAATCGAATATTCAAATATTCGAATATTTAATCGGATTCGAATTCGGATATTAATTTTCAATATCTATCAGATACCGGATTTTCTAATCGGATTCAAATTCGGATATTTTCTTACCTGATTCGAATTCGATCCGTTTACACCTCTAGTAGCATGTAAGAAGAAAAATAGTCCGTTTTTGCAGAGTTGTCCTACCGTTTTTGCATTCTGAATGAAGGTTAACATGTCGTCTTTTTAGAAGTTGAATTAAAAAAAAACTAATGGATTTTCGTCTAATATCCAACGAAAATGCCACTATAATAGTGATTATTCCTAAATTAATCCTGAGCTAAATCTGCAAACTATTTTTCTCCCTTCGAAAATATCTTAGGTCGAATCCAGACCAGAAGGTCCTCCAGAGTTGACATGAAATAGAATGTAATTTCAATTGTTTTCTTATTAAAGGATTTTCCCTTTCTATTTTCTTTGGTGGTTTTCTATGTAAGAACAAAGTTTCGAGCAGAGGGTTTGAATCTGAGCTTGTTAAACTTCAACACACTTAAATTCATAGTAATCACCTTTTGACTGTAAGCCTGAAAAGTCTAGACGATGGCAAAATTCTGGAGAGGGTAATGAACGACGACAAGAGGACTCCTGTGAGCTACAAGGACGAAGGTTGTAGGGGTGAAACCAGAGGTGACTGGGAAAGAAAGAAGACAAAGAGAGACAGGTTCAAGATGGAATAAATCTCTCTCGAGAGTTTGGGTGGGCAAGACATTAGAACAAATCATATTTAATTTTATTTTGAAGTTGAGACTAACGATAATGTCTAGACTCCATTTACTCTTTGACTTCAAGCGAATGAGGGAAATTTTATTGGGTGGGACAGGAAATTTTCGGATGTGAATTCTATAAATGGAAAATTTCCGATAAATACCCTATACTTTGGCTCGAGTGACAATTTAGTACCCAAATTTTAAAATGCGACAATTCAATACCGGAACTTTCAAAATGTACAATCCAGTACCTACCATTAACCAATCCATTAATCAGCCGTTAAGTGGCATTTGAAAAGTCAAAATTGTCCTTTGAATGTCATCTAATTCTCTTTATCAACTATCCAAATATTGACAAAAAACTAAATAGTCCCAAATCCTGGCCTCTTCTATACAAAAAAGTTGGTGACTATTTAGAAGAATCTAGAAATTGAAACTATTTATTTTATTGCCAATGTTTGGATGGTTGATAAAGAGAATTAGGTGGCATTTTTAGGGCATTTTTGACTTTTCAAATGTCACTTAATGGCTGATTAATGAACTGGCTAACGATAGGTACTGGATTGTCGCATTTTGAAAGTTCAAGTATTGGATTGTCGCATTTTGAAAGTTCAGGTACTGGATTGTCGCATTTTAAAGTTCGGATACCAAATTATCAGTTGAGCCAAAGTACAAGGTACTGATCGGAAATTTTCCCTTTTACAAAAGCCGCCTCCATCCGAACTCACATCGTCTGTCTCCTCCAATAGAAATCTACCACGTCTTTATTTACATTTGAATTCAATTTTAACTGAGTCAAAAGGTAACGTTAGTGTGGACTCCAAAAAATTTAAATTCTCTTAACTTGCATGAACTGTTTCCCCTTTAAACCACCCTAAAATTTTCCCCGTTCATTCCTCTCGAGCTGGTTATTCTGTCTCTCTCACTCCATCTCATTCTCTCATTTTTCTTCTCCTCTCACATTCTAAGAGCTTTATTGGTATCAGGGTTGTCTCCTAGCGCTTGGCGAATCCGAACCTCTTATATCATTCCTCTATGTCTTCCTTTCATTCCCTTCAAGTGATGCAAACAAGGGTAATTGTCGTTTGTGTGGCTGGAAAAGAACCTTGTGCATCGGATACAGTCGTGAAGTGTCCCTATGTCACAAGCGACCACTTTTTCGCGACATCAAGTGCCTTTGCCATGCCCACGACATGCCATCAGAGTGTTGTCTAATGCGTCTGGGGTGGGCCTACATGTGTATTTTGTAAGGGGGGATTGCCAATGGTATTATTGTAATTAGGTATTATTGTTGTCAGAGCACCAAAAGCTTAACGTACTCTTTAAGGGGAGGTGAGTAGTTGAAAGGTGCCAAGACCATGTAAAGGTTAAGCAGAGGTCCCCTCGACACATACTTATGTGCTTGTACTTGCCATCTATTGCAATATAAAATGCCTTTTTACTAATTTTTGTTGCATTTTGTATGTTTTACTTGCTTTCTTAGGCTTATTTGACCCACTCGAGTGCCGCACGGGGCCTCACCGATTAGCCCCGTGACACCGACTCTAACAAAGTTCAATTTTAGCTAGAAATAGAATAGGAGCTTTTGTGCGCTCCAAGAGAAGCTCCACCATGATTGAGCATGATAATCCAATAAAGGTTTTCATGATTCTTACAATGTCGAAGGCACGAGGGGGACTGTAATTCTTCCATCCCAATATAATTAATGCAGCAATTACAGCTGAAATGCCCCCGGCTTGGCCATATGTCCGACTCCATCCTAAAAAACTGGTAAAAATGATCCATGGGAGAAGGGAGAGAAACCTAATATCTTCGAATCTCTAGAAGATGAAACAACCGAAGACTCCATAGACGGTCCATAAAACTGTCCCTTGAGCCTTAATGTTCGCAACCTTAAATTAACCTTGCTTCTCACCCCAGCCATGTCGATGGCGATTGTCAATCCTGACCAATACCCAACTCCCTTACTAAACACTGTCCCAAAGAGAACGGAAAGGCCCAAAGGAAAAAGATAATCTGCAAGCGCCGAGTCTACGAAAAGCTATAATCGGTATGTTAAGCTCTTGAGCCACATAAATGGTGAATGACATGATCCGATCTTCTATAATGCATGTCACAGACTCACGGGCGGCCGGACGTTAGATCCCCATCGATTGGATACGTGCATCTCTTATAAAAGAGGCATGCACTTGATTTTTAAGGAGTCAACAATTCCATCGTGTGGACCTGAGCGGGGGTGATCAAAAGGAAGACCTGGGATGGTTGCAAAGTGGAATCCGGGCCAACGGGCGAAGCGGGAGTTGAGGTTGGTAAAGCGGAGGAGACGGTGATGGATGTGTTCAGTGCTAAAGAATGTGACATGAAATTGAGCACGTAGTTTATGTGGCCGCCCTATAGGGGGATTGGGAAGACAGGCACATGAGCTAATGTCACTGATAATGGCTCCGTTTTTCCATTCTGGTTGCAAATTTGCAATAGTGACGAGAGGCATGGGAAAAGGAGGAGCGACAGAGAAAAAGATAGAACAGGGTAAGATAAGAGGAAGAGGAATGATGAACGAGAGGTGGGTATGAATTTCCGAGTCCAGACTTAACGGCAGTCTAGATGTTGGTAATTTTAAGTATATATATATAACGTGTTTAAATTTATTGGGTGGAATAGAAAATTCCCAGACGATGTGAGCTCCCCCATCCCGTTACTTGATCAAAACAGAGACTAGAGGCTACGTACGGCGAAAGTGCACCGTGCAAACAACGCCGGCTGCCGGCAGCCCGCTAGGCCAAAGTGCAACTGCACAACTTTATTACTGCTTACAAGCGGGAGAGAAAATGAAAAGGAAACGCAGTTTATATTTATATGCACAGATCAAGAGATTAGCTAGAGAGTATAGACCTGAGAGTGAGAGGAGGTAAGGACACACCCATAAGACAGGGGAATTCCACCTCACGTGTGAAACGTATCATGAGATCCAAGCTCGCTGCTGATCCGGCTAGTTGAAGTGTTTAAACCATCACCCGACCAAGATTCTGAGTTTGGTTAATTTAAGATTGGTCATGTGGTAAAAAACTGTTGACTTGGTTAAGAACTGTTCGATTTGACCGGTTTTACTGTTAATTTGTTCGACCTGGTGACCGGGTCACAGGTTGTACACTCAATGCATATTAAACTTTCAGAGGCCATAATTTTGCACTCCGATATTCAATTGGGGTGATTTTTTTTTTTAACTTTGGCTAACTTTTCGAGATCTATGCGTCCCAAGGAGTCGTAGGTGCCTTGCCTCGCTATTTTCATGAAAAAAACCCCTTTTTGGCCTCAAATTACAAATTTTAATATTTTTTATAACTAAAAAATTAAAAAATATAAAGTAAATATAAAATAATACATAAAACATATTTATACATTATTTATTGTTAAATATATATTTATACACACACAGATATATATATACCCACAACCTGGAGGCAAAAACAGTTCAACCTCTACATCGGTTTTCAAAACATTACCATCACCCGGGGCCTAGGGATAGGCCTATCAACGATACCTGTAAACCCGTGGCCCAATCCGATATTCAATTCAAGAATATCTCGGATTTGAATGAAGTAAATGTGATATTGGATTGGATTCGGATGGTAGAAATATAATCTGATTAAAAATTGGATCAAACTCGGATTCACCCCATCCGATCTGATAAAACTCTGATTCTAATATATTTATAAATATAAATATATTTTATATTATATGCTTTTATACATTAATGGAATGGAATAGATAAAATTTATTAGGGGTAAATGAGCGTGGGGACAACACATAATCCAACCATGATCAATTCCCTCTCCCATCTGCCCTGTCTCCTCTCTTCTGCCTTAATCATCATATGGTACTTACTATACATGTAAATACATAATCAGATATGGAACGGGCAGCAGCTGATGAACAAAAATGTAAAAAGCTCCTTCAGTCGGTCAGACGGTCATCAGCAGCACGGGAACGGCACCTACAGTCAGAGTACTGAGTACTCTCCTCCTCCGGTCCTCCCCCACCATTAGACGAAGATCGTCGTGATCATCTTTTACTTTAATTGATATTATTGCATATTTGCATCTCACTAGTTAGTTAGCACTTAGTTGTGGCCGTCGGAATCGGTGAGCATCTTTTGGATCATTTGCCTTGTCTCCACTTGGGCCATCCGATCTTCCCTGCTCCTCGTGTATGCTTCGAAGAATTCCTTGTTCTCTTTCTCCAATTCTTTCCATACTGCACCCCACCCCATATTATTCCATTTATATATCATTTTATCAAATTGGTGCGTATATATATATATATATATATATATATATATATATATATATATATGTTATGTATGTTGTTTGATACAGAGGAATGATTGTAATCGCACCTGTGGAAGTTATTACAGGCTTGATATTTGCATGTTTGGAGAGGGCTTCCACGCACTCTTCTTTGGTCATGTAGAATAGCAGACACTTTTCTATCATGTGCTGCACCTACCAGCATCCCGCCGTCACCCAACACATAATACATAACAACGCCATCAATTACAAGCATAAATGAAAGTATATATACCATTCAATTTGTTCGGTCATATCTAACTTTTTTTCCTGAACATCATAACAAACAAGGAAAGATGGAAACAGCTAGAGAAATTTTATTCACCATATGGATATAAGAAGCAGAAGAAGAGTCCGCCATGGTTGCAGTTGGAGCTAGCTTCTGCTCTCGCTCTCTTAACAGCGAATATAGAAGAAGAAATAAGCACCGGCCGTAGATGGGGACTGCCGGACTGGGGAGGGATAGAAAATTGGGAGAAGGGAGAAGAGATCACAGATTCACAGTTGGGGCAGGGAGATGTGTTACGATGATTGCTATAAATATATATATCTCGAGACAGAGACATAGAGTAAGGGTTAAGAAACAAAAGTCGGAATAAATAAATAAATAAAATATTGCTTGAGGAAATCGTGGGACCAGGAGTCCCACGTGGGAGATTGATGATAATTGGTCGATGAGGGATTAGGAAAGAACTTCAAGAAGAGGCCATTCTTTTGTCTCAATAGGTGGACACATAAGCATCACCTTCACGTGACGCGTGGGACCCACTCTTTTAAAAATTTAACCACGGAAGGCAGAAAGAAGCATCCACTACCACTCCGGTCTTGCCCGGTGTTCGGATGAGTAGACGCCGAAAAGCTAAAGCATATTGCCATGTGGCGACTTGGCGAGTCAGGCGAGTCAGGCGCTGGTCCCAGTAAATCTCAACGGCCGTTGCAGCCGTGCATTGGGAACATCTCCCTCGTCCTTCGTGGTGGTGAGATGCTCCCAATGCACGTCTGCAATAACTGTTCGACCCTGCGTTGGGACCAGATCCCGAATTTCCATATGACAGTCAACACGCTGAAAACGTAGCATATGGCCGTCCTCATCGCGCCGCGACTGGTCCCCGACTCCCCATCCAACATCAGTACAAACAGTTCCCTGCCTAATAATGTCTATATCCCGAATATTATCTTAAAGGTCTGTTTGGTGGCTGGTGTGGTATAAGACGTCGAGAGAGAGCTTTCAATGAGAGTGAATACACTCACATGATTGCAAATTTGTTTTCAAAAAAAATGATGCAAATCTTGTTCAGTTTTGCATTGATTTTGATGGATACAAACATAAATCTCAAGGCTAGAAACAAACTTTTTATATTGTTCAATTTTGAGAAAGAAATTGCTTCCATTTTGAATGTAGAAGATGATTTACAAGCAAATTTATTTTAGGGAGAAGTACAAATCAGCCCAGCTCAGAATTTACTAGGCCTAAAGTACAGGGGGAATGCATCCTGACCGTGAATTGATGTCAAATTCACGGGCAGGATGTGGTTTATAAGGGGGGACAGGGCTAGTTGTAGGGGGGGGGGGCTGGAATTCAGAATTCTGCATCGTGTGTCTCCGTACTTTTCCCTTTATTTTATCTCCTATGAGAGGAGAGGTAAGGCTAGAGTTGAGGCTTACATGATGATCGAAGGATTGGGTGAGGATATAATGGCAAGGGCTATAGCTAGAAGTGATGTTGTCCGATCCATGGTGTTTCAAATTGAGGACACTGTCAAATGATTCTGCCGAGGTGGAAGGATGAAGCTGTACACCAAGATCTACAACCACAATAAGATTCAAAGCCCGAGGAGTTGTTCCTTGGGTAGGCACTCCGATGCTCAAGTTAGTAAGGTAATGGGATTGGTTGAAAGGAGCAAATCAGAGTGATGCTGGTTCTGAGCCAAGGAGGTGATGTGAAGGGGTACTGAATGAGTGGAGAGTCAAAAGTCCTTTACCTCGAGTGGGGAATACCTATTTATAGCCAAGCATTTGTGCCCTAGTTGGATTGGGCTTCCAAGGTTGTCGTGTTGAGGTTACCACCAAAGTCTTTGAAGGGTTCCCCTTTCCTCGGCAAAGTTAGTTTCCTTTGTTCATGTGAAACACTCCTTTTGATTGTGCTCTTCTGTCATGCGGTTTCAGATGACAATGCTGATGTGGTTCGAAGAAGACAACCACAAATCCACCACGTGGCATCCTCGGCCAGCTCGGATACCACCTAAACAAGAAGCATGAGGTTGAATTACTATGGTTCAGAGAGAGAGAGAGAGAGGTGCAGCTATAAGAGGTAATGGGGAAGATGACAAAGGGAAACTTTCTTGTCTCGGAGAGGCGGTTAAAATTCGTTAAACATAAAACAGATAAGTAGCTTAGGGTTTCGTCACGTGTCCATGAGAATCTCTTTGGGTTAGGAATTCCTGTCTTTAGAGTTCGCATATGAGTATGTTTGTAGCTACAACCCTTCATGGAAGCTCACCTATGGTCATGTGGGACAATACCTCTTATGGAAAACATCCAAGTATTTACACATGGCATCATAGTGAACCAATATCAGTGTTACATTAGGCATTGCTGTACTTCATGGCTTCATGCGATGTCGGATTAGGCAATGAAATGGATGTGACGGCGGATGAACTCTATTACAAACGTAGTATTGGATATCTTTTGTGATATCACATGATTCATTAATCACAATATAATGTTTATTGTTGTTATCACAGTGTCTCTTTTAGCAATCTTGTGTTTTGAATAACATCATTGCTAATGAAAGGATCAACATGATTTCACAAGTGTCATCACATGTTTTCTAGAGTTTTGGGAGTCATGTAGTTTTTCTATTTCGATTCCTAGTTATGTGATTTGCACCAATTGTGATGTTTATCTTTGCATCAATGTTTTAAAAAACAATTCGAAAACAGAACCATTATGGCCACCGGTTTGACTGTTCGGTTCTAATAGATGACCTGTTCAAACAAAACAAAAAAATAAAAAAATAAAAAATGGCCAAAAATAATTTAACGAATCAAATAGGTCAACAATTAGATCACTCTGGTCAATGGGTTGTTGACCGATTGAATAATTTTTTACCAAGGATTGGATTTGGGGTAAAACATAACCGGTTGCCTAGATGGTGCCTAGGCCAAATGGTCTAACCATTCGGGTCGAAAATATTGTTTTGCATCATTATGGTCTTTACTAGACTTGTTGATGTGCCGGACCGGGCTTTCACTCTGTATTAACAGATTTTTTTAAGGCCCGAGCTCGAGCCCGGCTCGACCATCGGGCCTACAACTTGGGCCCGAGCCCGAAATTTAGTCCATACTGTTACTATTACTACTACTGAAGCGACTGAATAAAGAGAGAGAGAGAGAGAGAGAGAGAGAGAGAGAGAGAGAAATTATAAAGAAAAGAATAAAATATATATATATATATATATATATTAAATTATAAATATATATTTTAATAAATATTATATTATTTATATAATATATAAAATACATATTATATATTTTATAAAATATATAATGTTGAGTCGGGCCGGGCCGGGCTCGGGCCAAGCTTTTTTGACAAATCCCAAGCCCGGCCCGAAACACAATCGGGCTTACTGTATTAGGCCCGAGGGCCTAATTACATGACCAAGCCCGACCGGGGTGCGGGCCGGGCCATCGGGCTACCCGGCCCATGAACAGGTCTAGTCTTTACCATAGGTTGTGTGATAATTGTTTACATGTACTTACATTTAAGTACGAAAATGCATTCTTACCGAACACAAATAAAACCAAAATGTGAACAAATTTGCTTCCATTTTCCATTTGCACCCTCATAAAACGCAGTTTTCCATCAACATTTTTATTTGTTTCCTATTATGAAACCAAACACGGCCTTACTTTCTTCTTGTCTTGTAAATTTGTAATTTGGGTGGATAGAGAGTGTGAGGCCCCAAGGCCCAAGCGGGCCCGTTTACTTCATTTTCAAATTGAGCCAGGTGCTACTTTGGATTTTGGATTCCCATATGTTCTGCCTGCGGTTGCTTTCTTTTCTTTGGAATACAAGGCTACCTTCGGCCTAAGGAGAGCCTAGCCCACTTCTCTCTGCAAGGACTGCAGCCATGTCAACCAGCTAAGGTTGCTTTCCATTTGGGTGATTGATGGCAACTATTCTTCATATCTGAATGAAGGAAGAAGCTACTTGTCTCTATCGCATTTACGGATCTCGGTAACACGAGCCCGAGACTCAACTATTCATTTATCATCACAAATATTAATGATTCACACCTGAGATCGGATTTTGTTTATACACAGTCCTCACAACACTGCAGTCATGCATCTGGAACATCTCCCGTATTTATGTTTTTATTCATAGAAAATAGAAAATGGGTGGAAGGCATATTTTTAAGTAATTTTTTTTTTCTTTTATTAATTTTTTGGGGGTGAAATTTACTTATAAAAAATAAAAAATACAGATATGACCAATGTAGATTTTTAATTTCCACTGCAGAGTTAAAAAAATCATGAGTGCACATATGTCTCTTCATAACTGCCACATTCACATGGATTGAATTGTTCTTTAGTGGTCAAATGACTCAAATCCAGCGCATGTGGCTTATCTTTCATTCTGTACTAGATAATGACCACCCCATTGGTAAGTACGTGATCACTATTCTAAACTATTTTCTTTTCAACACCCATTGTCATTTTGTAAATTTAAGTTAGATGAACGAATGTTTTTGGGTTTCTAAAAAAAGAAAGAAATGATTATTTTTGGGGAGAATGACGGATCAGCCCAAGGTCAGAATTTATAGGCTGAAAATACTGTCGGGGTAGGTGTCAGCTTAGAATTGATGTTAATTCACCGGAGGCGTTGATGTATAGAGTGTAGATTGTGGTCCTTTTGAATGTTTATATCTCTGCAGTGTAAATCAGAAATTTGCATTAGACAAATCCGTACTTCTCCTTTATTTTTGTTTGAGAGTGGAGGCAATTATCATTAATCTTTTTGAGGGTGGTGGTAAACTGGTAATCACTTTTGTGTAGAATTAGAACTTGAACGGATTCAACCTGAGCCTAACCTAACCTAACATAATGCAACTTTTTTTATAAATTGGGCCTGAGTTTTGGGAATTAAAATTGGGCTTGGGCCAGAAAATTTGAATTTGGCCTACACTCGAGATCGATTTGGATTGAGGTCTTAAATAGCCTAAACCCATATTAGAAAAAGCAGTGTTTTCAAAAGTGAACTAGACCGAAAAAATCGAAAACTATTTTACCCTAAAGCTGCTTTTTGGCCAAAAATTGTTGATTTAGTCAGCAAACCATTGACCCAGACAGTCAAGCTATTGACTCGAGCAATGGTTTTTGGCTATATTTTTTTTATTATTTTTATTATTTTTGTCAAAGTGGATCATCCGTTTGGACTGGATGACCGGACCATTCAACCTAAAAACCAGACCCAGAACGATTTCCTGTCTAATTCAATTTTCAAAACCTTGGGAAAAAAAAAAGAAATATGAGGG